GACCTTAGGATAGGGATAAGCTTTAGCTTATCTGAGTCTAGCTCCTCATGTGTAAAATAGGGGTAATACTTACCTCAGGAAATTGTTGTGAACATTGAACAGGATGCCATGCTTGGGGAGGGCACCAGCACACAGAGGGGGCACCAGACAACTGCCAAACCCGGTCCTGAATATCACCTAGGGCGGGGGCCTCTACTTCCCAGAACCCTATTCTATTCCAACAGCTCACTGAGATAATGATCTTTAACTGGAAACCACAAGAAAGCAGCACCTGGGGTCTTTATTCCTTTCCAGGGGTTCAAGGGGATCCTCCCCAGTTGAGGAATTGGAAACTGCTGTGCTGGTGTCCCTTTGTGTGGGGACAGAGAAGTGGCTGACAGGCGTGACAAGTTTGGAGAAAGCCCTCCACCCCCTCGAGATCTTACCCTGGGCAACCTTGGGCATACACGGCCCGCATGTGGCCACTGCGAGATCCCTTCTCAGAGCCACTGCTCGCTCTGCCTTAGGAGAGCGGGAGGCACTGAAGAGAGGGCAAAGCACAGACAGAGAAGCGGAGGGGAAAGTGCAGGCTACCCTCAAAATCCAGAGATGTAGTTGGAATGTCTGAAATAGAAGGGGTGGCATGTAGGAAAACCACGTTGGAAAGGGCCAGACTGTGGAAGACTATCTTTCCCATGGTAGAAGTCTGATCGTCAGGTAGGCTACTGAAATGTTCAATGGGCAGCTGTTGAGGTTCTTAAGTAACAGTAAGACATGATCAGATATGTGTCAGGAAGGAAGGCAGAATGACAGGCAGACTGGAGGCAGGGAGCACAGGCAGGACACCGCTGTCCCCGGCCAGGTCAGTGACGGGAGGGGCCCAGTGAAGACAGGGCTCGAGGAGGCAGGAGGGGCGTGCTGGGGAGATGCTGCTGTGTTGAGGGAACTTGGTATCTGAGTGCATGTTAGGAGTAAGGTACAGAATTGGGAACACTTTTACCATTGCACTATGGGGACGAGGAATTGATGATGGTGCCAACCAAGGGGACAGAGAGGCTGAAATAGACTGTGTCATCTCAGAATGTGTAATAGTGAAGAAAGAAAAACCTGTGAATGACAAGTACTATCTGAGACATTTTACGGAACACAGTGCAAATAGTTTGAGAAAAGATGGGCACGGTGCTGTGATTTGAGAGTAACTGAAATGACAGCTCACAGGGGATGTGAGGCTCAGAACAAAGGAAATTCCAGCAAGGTATTTTAAAACGGTACTGATCAAGAGTATGTGGGGACAGACCTACTTGGTGGTCAGCAATCTGATTGGCTTTGGGAAGAAAAAGTACAAACAAACAAACAAACAAACACACCAAAGCAACAAAAAAGAATATTAAATAATGGTATGGATTTGGCTTTAGGAATGTATGTTACTCCAAGTCTATTTTAGAAAGAATATGAACTGGTATGAACAGTCTGCCTCAGATGGAAGCCTCAGGATGATCAACATGGGAAAGTCTTTGACACAGCAAGTACCTAAATGCACTTCAGGTAAAGCACTTTGGAGACAAAATCTTAGAACAATGTAATGCTTTTTAATGAGTCTGTCCCTTCCACAGAATGAAGTGACTATGTGTGAGCCTTCAAAATAGTAGTCAGCTTTATTCAAAACGAAGGAAATGCTACCAATGCCTTTTTAGTGTGTAAAGGAATTAACATGTACACTTAGTCTCTAGGTTGCAGTTTACCAAATCCTTGGAAAGGTGCTATAATGGAATGGAATGAAATGTTCTATTTACCCTGGTAAATGTCGTTATAATGGTTGATTTTTCCTCCCCAAAAGTGACCATAAACATGAGATAAAGTCATTGCAGCCTCATATAATGCACCCCCCCCTTCTCTGAATTCCCCAGTCCACTGCCTGTTCAGTAACATGGGGTAGGAGGGCTATCTCCTCCACCGTATCGTAAGCCCATGGGGCAAGTACCTCTGGCCCTACTCAGCAGTACAGGGCTGGAAATACAGGGGAAGTGCAATAAATGAATGGATGATTTTCTACAATGTGAAAAGAGCTGAGATTCAGAACAAGCTAAGACTTGCCACCATTCCTACAGACAGCATCAGGGCTCACTAAAATGAGGGGCAAGAAGACAGTCCCAGTTCCGGAAAGAGAGCAGAGCCTGAAGAACCTCAGGGAGAGAGGAGCCTTGTGGTTGTCACCCCTGCCACCCCACTGTGTGCTGGGGCCGTGTCCAATCGGACAGGCCAGGCAGGTAGTGCCTGCCTCCCCCACTGCTTCCCTGTGTCCATTCTCAAAGCAGGCCACAGGGCCAGTCCTCACGAAATGCTCCTGCTACATACAGTCTTCAAACAATTGGTGGAGAGGGATGAGGTGACAATAACCTCATATTCTGATTCCACATTCTTCAGGAATGAGAACAATGCTTGGATTTGAAAAGCAAGGCATAATAAAGGTTGAACAAAAGCTGCTGATAGCAGAATGGACAGAAAGCATATCAAGACGCTTCAAATGAGCTCAAGTGTCCAGTCGCAAACTAATTACATCCTGAGAGAGTGTGTAGATTGCTCCTGTTAATGGTTAAGAAATCAGAGAATAGAAATGGAATCAGAAGACCAGAGATAAGCAAATGTCCCCATTTCAAAAGCAGAACGGAAACTTGAGACTGCTCTGCTAAATGTGCACCCTTGCTAAAAACTTAGGAGAAATTATTCAGATGCCAAGGGGCTCTTTAGAGAAGATAAATAACATCATTAAGGACTAGTAGGGGGTCTCTCAGAAAAAGCCATGGCAGGCTAACCTCATTTCATTCTTTCAGCAGGGATTCTAGGTTGATAGATTAGGGAGCCATAAACGTGGTATGTCTTGGTTTTAGTCTTTCTTGATAACCTTGAGAAAGGAGAGATAAATGTGGGTGACATGATAGCATGGTCATGTGAGTTCACAGGTGGCTAATCAACTTTAAGGATTACTGGTTAATAAATTTGTGTCCACCTGAAGTGATTTGCAGGGGCATGATATAGAGACATGTCCTTTGCCCCATAGCAGTTTCTCAGCAATAGCTTATAGCAAATCTTCAGGTGACCAAAAACCAAAACAAAACAACTCAGAAAGACAAGTAAACAAACATTTTTTAAAAAGGCACAAAAATTCAGTTTTATCAATAGACTAGAAAGAGAAAACAAAAATCAATTAAATGGAACTGAATAAGGGTAAGAATAATATCAGTAGAAATAGGCTCAGAAAGATGAAATTCATAGTTGAAGACTAACCCTGGCAGCATTCCAGTGAGAAAAGAGCTATCTGCATGTTTGGGGGAGTGGGAGTCTTTCCAACAAGTCACGTGTCCGATGTGGGTTAACTCTGTGTCCAAGTTGCTGGAAAAAGTTAACACACTCCTGAGTTATGTTAACAGAATCCTGGTGTTCAGAATAAGAAAGCTAACCACGCTGCAATTAGCCCGCAGGATACCTGTGAAGCTCTGGATGCCATGTTTTAGATGAGACACTAAGAAAGCGGAATGTGCTGAAGGAGGGGACCAGGGTGGTGAAACTCTAGGTATCGCTGGAGAGCAGAGAGGTGTTTCAGCCTCAAGAAGGATGTCCTGAGGTGACTGTGTTTACAAATGTTTTAAAGGACATTTCTTGGATTGAGAACAGATTTACTCTCTGAAGGTCTAAGTGGAACAAATAGCTAGAAGTCAGAGAGTCGAATCCATCTTAATATAGGAAATGGCTGTTGTGTTCAGAGGCGTCCTTTGGTGCTGTGACCTGCCTCCTAACACAGGAGCTAATGCTGGGAATGCCCACATTGAGGCTGGATGACAGTCTGTCAGAGGTTTGAGGACACAAATGGGTTGTGGGAAGTTGAACCGGGTAGAGCTAAAACCCCTTCCAACGTTAAGAGTTGCTCTAGGAATCTCTCCCTCTATTCAGGTAACTATAAGCCATGTCCCTAGACTTGGAATAGCTCCACCTGACACTAATCTTTACCATCTTACTCTACATCTCATCCCGGGGACAATGTTAAAGGGTACAGATGCAAATTAGGTTGAATTCCTTTTCCAAGAAAAAGTCTCAGGGTAAGTATCACATAAGCTGAGAATATGACTTTAAAAGCCTTCTACATAAACAGAAAACAAAGCACTTAACAAGTCAAAACAAAGTCTTCTGATACTACTTGACACAGTTTTCTGTTTGGAGAAATAAAATGGTGGGAACGGGTTACTGCGGAAGGGTTTTACATTGATGAATCACACAATACTGGTTCTTTGGGGGTGACATTTAAAAAGTGATCCTCCTTTAAAATGAGACCTGGCACTGAAAACAAAGGCAATAAATACATGCCTATATTAGTCTCATCCTTTATATAAAATAAAGATACACCTGTCTCCGAATCATAGAAGAACCTTGGGAAAAAAACAAAAAAACCCCCACTATCTCACAAGAGCTAATTAATTCTTACATCAATTAAATATAGATGGCAGGTCTTATTTAACACACTGCTAACCTGCACCACTGACAGAGCTCTAACATCGACTGAGGTGATGGGAGGAAGGTTAGCATAGGTGGTATTTCCTTCACAGGCAGGTTGAGTTACTATATCAGTAGCTGATTTTAAGGGTGCAAAAATCCGAACACATGGAGAGGTACATTTCCCAGCAGCATTCTCTAAAACCAACCAAAAATATGACAACATAGCTAATTACAGTCCTCCTAATTTGAGTGCCTCCTACTTGAGCACCAAGTTTGGTAAGAGAAACAAAAAAATATAAATAGAGTAAGTGCTTTTTCTAGAGGATTACTAACATGAAATATACATGAAACATGCAGCAGTGGGAAATTTCATGCACACTCCCCAGAATTTACCTAAAATGTGGGAGCTGATAGAATGGGCCTTTTCAAAAGAAAGGTAAAATGAATTAATAAATAAAACCAGAGGAAAGGCGAGTGGGGAACTACTCAATATCTGCATGCTGAAATAGTTAAATATCCTTTCACTACATACAACTGAAAACTTGCCCAATAATCATTCCCACAGAAAATGTGTTTTCTGTTATTAAAATAAAAGATGGAAAGGCTGTCAGCAAGGACAATTTATAGTGCTCACCCTGTGATTAGTTATACATAGTCTGAAAGGCTGATTATTAATAGTTAAACTGTTCAAAAACCTTAGGTTGTATTAACTCATTGAATCCTCGTAACACCTCTAGAGGCAGGTCAGTAATTATTCCATTTTGTGGATAAGAAAACAGAGGCTCAGTAAATTGCTCACCCC